CTACCAACAGCATATCAAAAGTGTTGGATTTTACCTCCATAAAAAAAAAAAAACATCACACCCAATGCCTATGAAGCGTGAGTACACGTATAAAGCCTTGAAGGTTAGCCCCTATAACAATTCAACACACCGAACATCCGTGGAAAGTAGGAACGTGTATAAAGCGTGAGTATAAAAATATCATAAAACCCAATTCCCGTGAAAAGCGAATGTTCATTTTTAATGCTTTTATCGTTATGACTCTCATTTTTTTTTTTTTTTTTGGAACTAAAGCAAAAGAATGCTTATCTAAAACATTAAAATGAAGAGTTTTGATACTAGAGCAAGTACATTACACCAAGACATCCACCATGACCTTGTGTTTACAACCATCACCCATTAATTGTGAAAGTACATGTGGAGTGATCGGTTTGTTGTAATTTTTTTCTTGGGAGCTAAGCAAGATGAAAGAATGATTCCCACAAAATTTCAGATTTTTTTGACGACTGTAGCTATTTTTTCTAATTTCGTATTATTTAATATTTAAAAATTCATTAAAAAAAATTGGTTGGTTGAAAAATTATGAAACTAATTTCGTATTATTTAATATTTAAAAATTCATTAAAAAAAATTGGTTGGTTGAAAAATTATGAAACTTGATTTATAGATCCATTAGAATGTCCCATTAATGAATCAATCGAGTTCATGGAAAAAAACAATCTAAAACTTGAGATATTTGACCGTATGACGGCTCAGAAAAATCGTATCTAGGCCTGGCAGACCAAAAATGTCTCAAAATGTACTATATAGGGGGGTGACTAGTCTGCATGGGCTGGGTGTCACGGTCATGCTCGTCCAGGGCGTGTTACCCATGGCCGCATGCCCATGGCAAGCCAAACCCTTGTCATGTCTTTTCATTCTAGTGTTTTTACTTTTGTAGTTCTAGGGCGTATGACGCCTCAAAAATATCATGTCTAGGCCTGCCAGACATGAAATGCCTCATAATGTACTATAGGGGAATATGACCAGTTGTCAACTTCTCCCTACCCATGGTTATATATGCTAAGCCGTTGTTATCTCTCTCTTGCTTGCTTATATAACGTCTCTTTCAAAAATCTGGTTATATATGCTAAGCCGTTGTTATCTCTCTCTTGCTTGCTTATATAACGTCTCTTTCAAAAATCTCTCTTTCTAAAATCTCTCTCTACCCTCGTTTTCTAAAACCTTCTTTCAAAACCGAGGCTAAAGGCTCGATCATACGTCGCTTGGCCGTAGGCGACGCAAGAACAAATTGGCTTAGCTCACTTGTCGTTGGAAAGTGAGTGACGCACAATCGCTAGTCCGCTGCCTTTAAAAGTGCGATTGTGTCAAGTGGTATCAGAGCCTTATTAGCTCCGTGACACAGTAAAGACCGAAACCATGTCGGCGACAAAGTCGACACCCAAAGCACAAGCCGACCGGCTTACGCTAATAGAGGAGAAAATGTTGTTCCTCAAAGAAGTCCCTGACACCCTCCACTTCCTCGAAGCACGGGTGACCGAATTGAGTGAGAAAGTCGTAGAAATCGACGCAATGGGCAACCGCCTGGATGGGTTGCCAATCGCAGAATTGATGTTTCAAGTGACCTCGCTCGAAGAAAGAGTTGCTCCTACGAGCAGCCCAAAACCGTCTGGTAGTCCGGATAGCTCTGTCGCTCACAAGGAGGGACGTGGCGAAGAGTTCGACGTGCTACAAAATACAATGATGAGCTTGTTCAATGGACTAGCTGATGAGTTCAGAACAACAATCGATGACATCCAAGAAAGGATGGCCTCCATGGGCACTCGAATTGAAGTGACCATGAAAGCCGTGGAGAACGTCACGGCTGGACAAACAAATACAGGGTCCAACAAACTAAGATTCCCAGAACCTAGAGCCTTTAAAGGGAATCGGGACGCCAAAGAGTTAGAAAACTTCATCTTTGATGTCGAACAGTACTTCAAAGCCACAACGGCTTGTACTGACGACAAGAAGGTGACCGTAGCTTCGATGTATCTCACAGACGACGCCAAACTGTGGTGGCGTACGAAGGTGCAAGACATCGAGGATGGATTGTGCACCATTGACTCGTGGGAGGACCTTAAGAAAGAGTTGAGGGACCAGTTCCTCCCCGAAAACGCAGGACATTTAGCAATGGAAAAGCTAGTAGCCCTGAAACACACTGGAAGCATACGAGACTATGTCAGACAGTTCTCAACCCTGATGCTCGATATCAGGGGCACATCAGAGAAGGACAAGGTGTTCTTCTTTATAAATGGGTTGCAACCGTGGGCCAAAACAAAGCTACACGAGAACAAGGTCCAAACCCTAGCCGCCGCAATGGCCTGTGCCGAGAGACTCCTAGACTATGGGAACGAAGCGGGATCCCAAAGGAGAATAACACCAGCCCCAAACACTGGTGGCAAGCCATACAAACCACCAAGTCATCGAAATGGAAGCCCCAACAGGCCGAACGGAGGTAACGACAGACCAAGCGGATGGACGGATAGACCTCCACAGAATAACCAAGCAGGGACATCTCGAGGACCTTACCATCAAAGGAACCACCCGACGACGCCGTTACAATGCATGCTCTGTAAAGGTCCCCACAAGGTATCTTACTGTCCTCATCGGGCCTCTCTCACTGCGCTCCAAGTGTCCATTCAAGAGAGCAATGACGCAAAGGTTGAGACTATGCTTGACAAGAAGGAAGATCAAGACAATCCCCGAATGGGCGCACTTAAATTCTTGTCAGCTCTCCAACGGAAGGTCGAACCGAAGGAGATAGTAGAGAAAGGACTCATGTTCGTAGATGCGACAATAAATTTCCAACCGAATAGGAGCACTCTGATAGATTCAGGAGCGACCCACAACTTTATCGCTGATCAAGAAGCCCGAAGATTAGGACTCACTATAGGAAGGGACCCGGGAAAAATGAAAGCTGTCAACTCTGAGGCCTTGCCTATTGTGGGAGTTTTCAAAAGAGTCCCCTTCAAAATAGGGGATTGGACAGGAGAGCTAGATCTTGTCGTAGCTCGCATGGACGACTTTGACGTGGTACTTGGGATGGAGTTCCTCCTAGAACACAAAGTTATCCCAATGCCGCTGGCAAAATGCTTAGTGGTCACCGACCGCAACCCCACAGTAATACCTGCAAGCATCAAGCAACCGGGTAATCTTCGAATGATCTCGATCATACAATTGAAAAGGGGACTCGCACGAGAGGAACATACATTTATGGCCATACCACTGATGGAAGTAGCAACCACCGAAGAAACTGTCCCAAATGAAATCAATGAGGTACTAAACAGCTATGCTGACATAATGTCAGAGAGCTTACCCCAAACATTACCACCTCGTCGAGGTATTGATCACGAAATCGAACTCATTCCCGGGGTAAACTGCCAGCGAAGAACGCATACCGAATGGCTCTGCCCGAGCTAGCCGAATTAAGGAAACAACTTGATGAGTTGCTGAAGGCGGGATTCATCCGCCCGGAAAAAGCACCCTACGAAGCCCCCGTACTATTCCAGAAGAAGAAGGATGGGACGTTGCATCTGTGCATAGACTATAGAGCCTTAAACAAGGTGACGGTACGCAACAAATTTCCACTGCCGATAATATCCGACTTGTTCGACCAACTTCACGGGGCCAAGTACTTCACGAAGTTGGACTTACTATCAGGGTATTACCAAGTACGTATTGCCGAAGGGGACGAGCCCCAGACGACGTGCGTAACAAGATATGGGGCCTTCGAATTCCTAGTAATGCCCTTTAGCTTGACAAATGCTCCAGCTACTTTCTGCACGTTGATGAACCAAGTTTTCTACGAATACTTGGATCAGTTTGTCATAGTATACCTCGACGACATAGTGGTTTACAGCACAACCCTAGAGGAACACAAAGTGCACTTGAAGCTGGTGTTCGACAAGCTACGACAAAACCAACTGTATGTCAAGAAAGAGAAATGTGCATTCGCACAAACATGCATCAACTTCCTTGGACATGTCGTCAAATGTGGACAGATTAGTATGGATAGCGATAAGATAAAAGCTATCCAAGAATGGAAGGTTCCTACTTCCGTATCCGATTTGCGGTCCTTCTTAGGATTAGCCAACTACTATAGGCGGTTCGTCGAAGGGTTTTCACGACGAGCCGCCCCATTGAAAGAGCTGTTGAAGAAAGACCACCCTTGGTTGTGGTCAAATGATTGTCAAATGGCCTTTGAAGATCTGAAAACAACCATGATGTGGGGTCCTGTCCTCGGATTGGTAGATGTTACAAAGCCATTTGAAATAGAAACAGACGCTTCTGACTTTGCCCTAGGTGGGGTCCTTATTCAGGAAGGCCACCCCATTGCTTTCGAAAGTCGAAAGCTCAATGACGCCGAACGTAGATACATTGTCTCCGAAAAAAAAATGCTGACAGTAGTCCATTGCCTTCGAGTTTGGAGACAGTATCTCTTGGGATCACAGTTCGTAGTGAAGACGGATAATAGTGTCATTTGCCACTTCTTTGATCAACCAAAATTGACGGCAAAACAAGCCCGGTGGCAGGAGTCGTTGGCTAAATTCGACTTCAAGTTCAAACACAAAGCAGGAAAGAGTAATCAAGCAGCCGACGCACTGAGTCGGAAGGGCGAACATGCGGCCCTGTGCATGTTAGCCCATATTCACTCCAGTAAGATCGATGGATCGATGCGTGACATCATCAAGGAACATTTACATAAAGACCTATCGGCCAAAGCCGTCGTCGAACTAGCTAAAGCTAGGAAAACACGACAGTTTTGGGTTGAGGGAGACCTTCTGATAACAAAAGGAAACAGATTGAATGTCCAAAGAACGGGAGAACTGAGGAAGAAGCTCATTCAGGAATGTCATGATACCTTATGGGCTGACACCCTGGGTGGCAAAGAACATACGCTCTAATAAAAAAAGGAGTACTTCTGGCCAAACATGCGAGACGACATCATGCAATACATCAAGACGTGCCTCATCTGTCAACAGGACAAAGTCGAGAAAGCCAAAGTCTCAAGACTCTTGGAACCTCTACCTGTGCCGACAAGACCCTGGGAAAGTGTATCTCTGGACTTCATAACACCACCTCCCAAAAGTCGGGGAATATGACGCTATCTTGGTTATCGTAGAACGATTCTTAAAATATGTGACGTTCATCCCCACTCCCAAATTATGCTCGGCCGAACTCACAGCTCAACTATTTTTCAAATACATTGTAAAGTTATGGGGCATTTCGTCGAGCATCATCAGTGATCGGGATGGCAGATTCATTGGGACATTCTGGACCGAGTTATTCGCCTTCTTGGGAACAATCTTAAACATCTCCTCGAGTTACCACCCCCAAACCAATGGTCAGACAGAACGGTTCAATTGCTTGCTCGAAGAATACTTACGTCACTTCGTCGACGCTCGCCAGAAGAACTGGATACAACTGTTAGATGTCGCCCAATTTTGCTTCAATTGTCACACCAGCTCGTCTACGGGAAAGAGTCCCTTTGAAATTGTAAGTGGACGACAACCGGCCTTACCCCATATTATTGATCATCCTTATGCAGGGAAAAACCCTCAAGCTCACAACTTCACAAGAGAATGGAAGCAGACAACAGATATAGCCCGGACATATTTAGAGAAGGCTTCCAAGCATATGAAAAAGTGGGCAGACAAGAAACGTCGCCCCCTTCAATTCCGAGCAGGAGATTAAGTCCTCATCAAGCTGAAACCAGAACAGATCAGATTTCACAGCCGAAAGGACCAGAGACTAGTTCAAAAATATGAAGGCCCGGTTGAAGTCCTTAAAAAGATCGGGACTACCTCCTACCGAGTTGCACTACCCGCATGGATGAAAATCCACCCAGTAATTCATGTGAGCAACTTGAAGCCATACCACCCTGACCCAAACGACGACCAACGAAATGCAATCACAAGACCAAGCATCGATCTGAGGCAAAAAGAAACAAAAGAAGTAGAGGAGATCCTCGCTGACAGGATTAGGAAGATAGGAAGACCTGTACGGACGATTCGTGAATTCCTTGTCAAATGAAAGAATCTCCCTACAGAGGAAACAACCTGGGAACGCGCCGAAGATCTGAACTCCGCCGCCACCCACATTGCAAGGTTTGAAAGTAGTCAGTTGACAAGGTCGTCAACCAATTAAGTGGGGGAGGATGTCACGGTCATGCTCGTCCAGGGCGTGTTGCCCATGGCCGCATGCCCATGGCAAGCCAAACCTTTGTCATGTCTTTTCATTCTAGTGTTTTTACTTTTGTAGTTCTAGGGCATATGACGCCTCAAAAATATCATGTCTAGGCCTGCCAGACATGAAATGCCTCAGAATGTACTATAGGGGGATATGACTAGTTGTCAACTTCTCCCTACCCAAGGTTATATATGCTAAGCCGTTGTTATCTCTCTCTTGCTTGCTTATATAACGTCTCTTTCTAAAATCTCTCTCTACCCTCGTTTTCTAAAACCTTCTTTCAAAATCGAGGCTAGAGGCTCGATCATACGTCGCTTGGCCGTAGGCGACGCAAGAACAAATTGGCTTAGCTCACTTGTCGTTGGAAAGTGAGTGCCGCACAATCGCTAGTCCGCTGCCTTTAAAAGTGTGATTGTGTCACTGGGAACGGGGGTACCCCCATATCCTCCGCCACCCCCACGCCCCAAGCACTATGCGCCGCACATGGGCATATGCTTGGGTCGTCGAGGTGGTGGTCGGAGGTCGAGGGTGGTTGACGGAGATGGTGCGGTGGCGGAATGCGCACGGTGGGGCAGTGTCAAAACGTTCCCGCTCTCTGGCCAGCCCCACTCGTGTGCGCCCCGCTCGCTTGCCCCCGCGCGAGCTCTCTCAAGCCCCACCCCGCCCTTGTTCTCCAGCGCGCGTGCCCCTCCCCGCCCCGCCCCGCCCGCGTGTTTCCGCGCGCGCTTTCCCTCCGCCAGCATTCTCCCGCGCGCCCCATCCCGGCCCCTCCCGCGTTCTGCTGTGCGCGCTCCCGCTCCTACACCCCATCCCTCACCCAATAATTGTGAAAGTACGTGTGGAGTGGTCGGTTTGTTGTAATTTTTTTTCTGGGAGCTAAGAAACATGAAAACATGATTTCCACAAAATTTCAGAATTTTTTGACAACTCTAGCTATTTTTTCTAATTTCGTATTATTTAATATTTAAAAATTCATTAAAAAAAATTGGTTGGTTGAAAAATTATGAAACTTGATTTATAGATCCATTAGAATGTTCGATTCATGAATCAATCGAGTGCCTGGAAAAAAACATTCTAAAACTCGAGATATTCAACCATATGACGGCTCAGAAAAATCGTATCTAGGCCTGGCAGACCAAAAATGCCTAAAAATGTACTATATAGGGGGGTGACTAGTCTGCATCGGCTGGGCACAGGGGCGCCCCCTATATCTTCCGCCACCCCCACGCCCCAAGCACTATGTGCCGCACATGGGCATATGTTTGGGGTGTGGGGGTGGTGGTTGGCGGACGAGGGCGGTTGACGGCGGTGGTGCGGTGGCGAAACTTGCAGGGTGAGGTAGTTGTCGAGTGCGCCTTTGGGCGTGCAACATGAGCCTTGTTGAGATTGGAATAATGCGATGTTGCCTTCTAACTTGGGCTGGCTTGAGGATGGTTGATGGCTGGTACGATGATGAAACACGCAAGGTGGGGTGGAGACGGGTGCCTTTGGGCGTGCGGCATGAACCTCGTTGAGTGTGTGACGTTGTGGTGACGCTCGGCCAGCCTTGGGCCAGCCCTATGTTTTGAAGGCGTGTGGTGCCAGAACATGTTCGGCTGGTTGGAATTGGGTGCCTTTGGGCGTGCGACATGAGCCTCGTTGAGCACGGAACGTTGCAATGTTGCCTTCTAACTGGGAATCTCTAGTGTGAGGACTGTGGATGGCTGCTCGTACGATGATGAAACATGCAAGGTGGGGTGGAGCTGGGTGCCTTCGGGCATGCGACATGAACCTCGTTGAGTGTGGGACGTTGTTGTGGTATGCCTCCCTTCCTTGGGGCAGCCCTATGTTTTGAAGGCTGCGTGGTGGCAGAACATGCTCGGTGGGGCGATGTCAAATGACTTTGGGCGTGCGACATGAGACTTGTTGAGCATGGAATGTGGCCTTCTAACTTGGGCTGACTTGAGGATGGTGGATGGTCGGTACGACGGCAAAGCGTGCAAGGTGGGTGGAGTTGGGTGCCTTCGGGCGTCCAACATGAACCTCGTTGAGCGTGTGACGTTGTGGTGACACCGTCAGGCCATCCTTGGGGCAGCCCTATGTTTTGAAGGTGGCGTGTTGGCAGAACATGCATGGTGAGGCGGTGTCAAGTGCCTTTGGGCGTGCGACGTGAGCCTCGCTTTGCACTGAATGTTGCGATGTTGCCTTCTAACTTGGGCTGTCTCTAGGATGGTTGATGGCCTGACCGCGCACGACGCTTTGGGCTTGGCTTCGAATGATGATTTTGAACCCCCGCTTGCGGTGGATGTGAATAGTCGATCGTTGTCCAAGATTGTTTTAACGTTCGGCGCATGAGTGGCGATTTGGTTGCTTGGGTCACCCCGCACACCCCCGCATGCCCCCGTGCGCTCACCCCGCACTCCCCTCGCACACGCCAAGCCCCATCCTATGCTATGTGCGATACATGTCCTACCAACAGCATATCAAAAGTGTTGAATTTTACCTCCATAAAAAAAACATCACACCCAATGCCTATGAAGCATGAGTACACGTATAAAGCCTTGAAGGTTAGCCCCTATAACAATTAATCACACCGAACATCCGTGGAAAGTAAGAACGTGTATAAAGCCTGACTATAAAAATATCATCAAACCCAATTCCCGTGAAAAGTGAATGTCCAAGATTGTTTTAGCGTACGGCGCATGAGTGCTGATTTGGTTGCTTGGGTCTATAGGCTTGATGCTCGGGCATCAAACTGTAGGCGACATCTCCTCCTCATTGGTGTGTCCCAAAGTATTTTGAGTGACCGTAATCCATTGGTTCTTGCACAGATTACCTCATGCACCGGTAGCATCGAGTCTTGTTAGTCCCTTTCTATCAGCACTCTTGTTGGGTGCATGATGAACTTGAAAGCCCGCTTTGCACATATCGCTTCAACCTTTGAATGGCTTGTTGCGAAATGTGTCTCGGTTGCTTGCACTCTCGGATGTCGTGCATTTGGTGGCATGATGTGCTTGGGAAACCCCTCGAATAATGTTGCCTATGTATTGCTAAACGAAGCATGAAAGAATGACGCTTGCTCTTGCATTGCCACCAATATTGCCTCTCTCACACTCCATTTGGTGGGGGAGATGGTGAAATGTGGTGGCATGTGGTTTGCAACGTTGTGTTAGAATGCTACCTGGTTGATCCTGCTAGTAGACATATGCTTGTCTCAAAGATTAAGCCATGCATATGTAAGTATGAACTAATTCATACTGTGAAACTTCGAATGACTCATTAAATCAGTTATAGTTTGTTTGATGGTATTCGCTACTCGGATAACCGTAGTAATTCTAGAGCTAATACGTGCAACAAACCCCGACTTCTGGAAGGGATGCATTTATTAGATAAAAGGTCGACGCGGGCTCTGCCCGTTGCTCTGATGATTCATTCATGATAACTCGACGGATCGCACGGCCATCGTGCCGGCAACGCATCATTCAAATTTCTTCCCTATCAACTTTCGATGGTAGGATAGTGGCCTATTATGGTGGTGACGTGTGATGGAGAATTATGGTTTGATTCCGGAGAGGGAGCCTGAGAAACGGCTACCACATCCAAGGAAGGCACAGGCGCGCAAATTACCCAATCCTGACACGGGGAGGTAGTGACAATAAATAACAATACCAGGCTCTTCGAGTCTGGTAATTGGAATGAGTACAATCTAAATCCCTTAACGAGGATCAATTGGAGG